GCTAATTTATTTATTAAAATGTACAAAACAGGTGATATCCAGGTTTTATAATTATGAGCCTCAAGGTTGCCATGCCTATCCACATTTAGACCACAATTGTCCTATACATGTACAATTGTGGTCTAAATGTGGATAGGCAAGCATTGCCTGTCCATCTATCCTATATGCAAAAAGGGATTAAACTAAAAAAATAACAACACTGTTATTGCATTCGTAGAGCCATGCTGATGAGTAATAGTAAAATACTAAGTAATTCCGCACCCTAAAATTGCATCTAATGAGTGCCAAGCGAACGATATTTTGTAGTGGAGAACCATGCGTGACACCGATTGTGCCTACTGCAAAGACAAACTCAACACGTACATTATGATAACTTTTTCGTTCCCAATGTTATATATGTAGAAAATACTTTTTAATTTTTTTTTTTTTGACCGCTGAAGTGGTAAAAAATAGGTTTAAATTACATTCTTCTCTCCTTATAAATAAATTATGGTGAAACTTACACACTAATTAATATAGGCTTAGGTACATACATATCATCTTAAGCCGGTGATGAGACCTGATAGCGCTCTTTTTAGGGCTGCGGTCGTTCTGGACGGTATGATGATGTAATTTATTTTAATTTTCACTTAGTATTTATTGTTAGCAATAAAGTTTCATTACGTTCCATATAAATGTAAAATTGTCACGAGAATAATGAAGTCTATGCTCTTAATTAAAAAATCTAAAAAAATCGTCTTTGTCCCTGACACCCTGAGACCAGAGTAAAGACTCTGAGACAGAGGGACTCGAAACCACGACCACGACGAGAGCAGTCGCCGGAATTGTAAAAGGTCATAGGTTCGAGTCCCATCTCAGAGTGCCAATGATAAAGTGGAATTTTTACATTTTTAATCAAAAATATTTTTGAATATAGCATTGTGAATGCAAAATTGGTCAAATATAATTAAGTCTATGTTGTTATTATCAAAACAATCATCGATTGTTATTATCGTTATATATAATGTAAATAATATGTTACGCTTATTAACAACAAATTAAAGTATTGCATACAATTTCTTATCATATAAATCTTGTTCCTCATAAATTTCTTAATTTATGACTGATTCTTATTAAAGCTCTACAAACCGAAATCTTCCCTTAAGATTATAATATTGTCTCATTACGAATGAGAAAAACCATAAACCCAATCTCCGCCCCATATCCCAAAACTTAGATGCGTAAACTGCGTAGGCGCAGGGTCATTTACGATTCATCGGACACACATGCCGTTACCAGCAACAGTTATACAAACTTGCCAGCCAGCGTCTCAGTTTAGGAAAAGTTTGGCATTCGTTTTACGTTCGAATTACTAACATTGCTCTTTTGTTACAATGTAGGTTTGTATGTTGCGTGTTTGCGCTTAGAATTTCTTTTGGGTAAAACAGTTTTCATTTTTTTTTAAACTACGTTATTAAAAAAGCAACAGAGTCGCGATAGATAATTTTTTAATTGATACGGTACTCGAGAAAAACATGGTATTGAAAATCGATCACATCAGGCCTTAGTTACAAAGTAACTTGCATGTTTATCAAATTTCACTATCAACTAACGTATGCGCCTTACATCTTATCTGTGCTTGGCTCTCCGATTAAATGGGAGAAATAAAGAGAGTGCCTGGCATTAATACAATTTTACGTTCCGTCAGTAAACACCAAAAAGATCCTTATCAAAATCCAAATGAGATCGTTCAAATTAACGAAAAAACACGTAGGTAATAGGTAAATATGGATGCATGTACATATTTATTTTAAAACACGAATTAGGTAACAGCTTAGTTGTGGCATGGTGTAAGCGACGACTGCGCCTAGACGCGCGTGCATCGGTTTCCGTCACGTATTTAGCGACTTTCTAGAGCTTTGCGTGCGCCCGCGCAGACCGCGTTAAAAATTTGAATTGTCCATCGGAAGGCGCGGCACGAGAGATTGTGCAAGGCCATTATTTCCCCGACATTTCCTAGAACGTATTTTAATCCACCTCGCCTAAAATACACCAACAGAAGTTCCAGATTAATCTCTATGTATAAGTATAACGACGCATTCTGAATGTCAACTTTTAAAATAAAAACGAAATATCTATCTCCAATACAATAAATTTGTCAATTTATTTATATTTATTAATCAACATCACTGTTTCGGGAGGAGTCATAAACTACTTTTATCTTAGAGGATGGTTCAAGCTTTAATTACACGACTGCCCAAAAAAAGGAGTGTATTGTGTTTAGAGTTAATGTATGTGAATTACATTATTGCACCATAACTTTTAAAATACTTAACGAATATGAATGTACAGGGTATTATTAGAAACGTGACATCATCCTGAGTTACATTGGCAATATTTTTCTTTTAATATTCAATATGGCGGTTGTATTTTATTAAAGCAATACGGGTATCAAAAGTTTCGATGAGTGCATAAAAAAATATATAATGTGTATGCATAATTGCTAATAAAAACTGCTCACTATAAGAAAAAGTACATACATATCGTGTTAATAAAAGAAAAAATAAAAGAAACGAGTTATGGTATTGTGGCTTCATTTCATAAAATTCTCATTGCATGCGAGGTACTTAATAGATTACAAAATGTTCATTACAGTGTGTAATAAATTGTATGTGTTTGTAATTTGTTCGTCTTTTCAACCAAAAAATGATAAAAAGGTATCAAATTTCACGAGGTTTATTACTTTAGTTAGCCTAGTTTCAAGAACACACAATTAACAAGATTTTATTTCTTAGAATGAAGTATTTTTATATTTCTCTGAATACCTTTCATTTGATACCTATATCATGACAGCACATAAATACTGGCATCAGGCCTTCCATTAAATATAAAAATATCAATTTAAAATCACTTTATGAAAATGTATTTTTGTGTTTTAAATTATGTAACCGATCTACCTAAACTAAACCTGTAAAATTTCAGCTGAATCGATGTTGTATAATACTTGTAAAATTAATTCTTAGTGAGATAATTTAAACAGGATATTCTATTAATAGACCATGTTTAAGGAAGCAAGTCAGTAGCAGACGCCGTTCTTTACCACTATGTTACCATCTATTAAGGTTACTTATTAGATTCTTGCCTTGAAAAATATTAAGAAGGTGTTTCAGTTAATAAGCACGCGTCAATACCGACTGAAAATGTCTGTCATAAATAGTACAGCGCTCTTGGAATGTTCCCACGGTGAAAGGCGACGAGTTCTGACCCTTAACCTCGTCCTTGATGCTGCTGATCAGCCAACTTGACATCTCGAGCCGTGTCTCTGATTGCTATCACTGGCAATTTCATATATCTGACTCTTATTATCTTTACAATTGTCATGAATTATCAATATTTCTTTTATAATAAGTGATAATAAAGCACTATCTTAGTCACAAAACGCAGACCCTCTTTTCTGTTTTCTATGACATTATAAACATGTTTAAAATATAGTCATAATTGAGTAGTACCCATAATAAGGAATTCAAAAGTTGATCTTCCGCGATATAAATATGATTATATAAACTGATTTCTTATATTTTCAGGGCACTTCTCATTAAATATAATTATTTTGAACGGATATGTCAAAATAAGTAGTTTTATAATTCTATAATTTAAATTCATTGTGCAAATTGCAAACATTATATCTTGTCAACTCCAAAAACTCCATAAAGACTTCGTTAGCTTTACTAATCCTTTTTTTTATTTATTATGAAAGCCGTAAAGAAAGAAACAGCAATAGAGAAATAGAAATAGAGCTCTCGCGTTTGAGGTTTCCGTACTAATAGCCTAAATTTTAAATTTCGACTACATATAAGTATATTAAGACTATTTAGTTTTTTAAAGAAAGGACGAACGATTTTCACATGTTAATTTATTTTCAAGAGACTGTAGACCTACCTGAGTACATATATGTTTTTAATTTGAACTCGCTATATCCACGTGTTTCCGAAATAAAAGGCCTTGACAAACAGACGGACAAGTGTTTTTTTTTCTTTTGAGGTATAACGGAACTCTACAGAGGAAATACAGCTTTTTTCTTTTCTCAAAGTTCGTCGGATCAGTTTATAAATTATAACCAGTCTGCTATTAAATAACATTATATTATTATAATTTTTCTTTTTGATTATTATAGTTATTGACAAAGAATTCAGATCTTAAAAGTTTTTAAACGTATTAATTGATTACTATTTTAACTGCTTTTGTTGTAGCTCTGTTATGTGTAACAAAAATAAATAAACGTAGTAGCTTTGAAAGGTTCCTCACCTAAATACCTATTTATTGGCAGGTAATTAAAGTGGCATACACATGTACTATTATCATTCAAAATCACTTACTGACCCCATACTCAAACTGACTTATTATTTGTATGCATCAAACGGTCTCAATTTGCTTAAAGAATTGTTCGATAAAATGGTATTGGCGTTTTGCCACAGTAAGCGTCGTCAAACATAAAAAAGAAACTAATGCCAGTAATGGAATTATAGTAATTAATGTTATAAGAGAAAGCGTTTTACTTGATTGGTCAAAACCAAGTAGGTGGAATTTGTGCAATTGTCATGTACCAACTATAGTTGCCTAAGAGCAATATTAGCACGAAATGTATGAATACGATCGCGTACGTATTATCGTATCGCTTTCGTATCTGTAAATGTTATATGATCTACGGATACTAATAACTCAAATAAACGTCGATCCTACCGCACAACACAGTATATAACAAGAACCGTGTAAATAGCAAATTATATAGCTCGAGAAAATTCTAAAACGATAATAGCAACGGATTAATTTCGCTACATAACGATTCACTTCTTATCCAGAATCACGTTAACCAACGAATTAAATTCCAACGCGACCATACACCATGTTTGATGTATTAATTACTTACTGAGATTGATATGTTATGTTTTATTATCTAGATAAGTAACATAATCATGTAATGATTTCCAACGATCGGACTAACAACCGCTTTTTATTGTTACAGATGGCGTAGAAAAACAGTCGGAGATTTCGATCACCAACCATATTAAATAACCTAATGGAAGGAGAACCGATAACCGCAAATAATCTGATATCCTCCATTAGAAGTTTCAACAGTGAGGGAAAAGAACACAACACTATCAAAACACTGTTAAAAAACTTCATCCTACCAGAATCCCCAAAAATGGCTATCAAAGAAGATAATAGTGACAGCAATAACTATGTATATACAATACCTGTCAAACCTCCTGTACCAACGGTGAATAACAGAACAACATCAATAAACGCAGCAAAATTAGCATTTTTGAACTCCACTGTAGAATCAGTTTCACCTGTGTCGAGACAGAATTCAAAAAACCAGAATTCAAACGTATTCTATGCGCAAATAGCAGTCACTACTGAGAACCAAGATGCTAGGAGTACTGGTGGGGGTAGAAATATAAAACAAGTTTCTCAGATCAAAAATGATGTATCAACATATAGTCCTGTTGAAATTGCACCGAACTTAAAAAAGAAGATAGAACAGCAACAACAACATAGAAAAGTTAGTTTCAAAATAAAAAACGCTACAACCTCATATAGACGGCCACCTGTGGCTACCAAAACCACAATGACAATAGCCAGTAATAAAGTTTCAGAATTGACAAAAAAGTTCAATAATTTAGTCGCCGAAACTCATACTGGATCAATGAAACAACTGAAAATAACGAAAACCATAGAAGATTTACAATTTATTTCACGGTGTTCTGCCAGCAATAGTTCTACACCTTCGTCGACACTTAGTACAAGCCCAAACATAAAAATAGTATTACGTCAAAAAAGAGGTTCAAAAAAGAGAAATCAAAAAAAGAGGTGTTCTAGCATGGATTCAATAGACAAACTTGTAATTACCAATAATTCTTTAGCCAAATATCGTGTGATTCGTTCTAAATCAGATGGTACAAAAATACCAAAATCTCCAAAGAAACGTTTAAAATATCAGGACTCTAGTGAACAGCAAAGTGGATCTGATTCTGTTGACGGTACTCCTGTGAAGTCTAAAGAGAATGAATCGAACGCGGAAACTTCTACAAAGGCCAATGTTGTCAAAGACGTTATCAAAAAATTTGAGTGTGAAATTATAGCTCAATCTAATTCTAGTAATACATTAAAAAAACAAACAGACCAAACAAAAAGTACAATCAACTTAAAAGAGAAACCTAAAGTACCTGAAAAGAAATCATCTTTAGTTTTAACTAAGAATATTGTGGTTAAAGATGGAGTACCAAAAATAAAAACGATTAAACCGCCTATTAACGACTTGCCAACTAAGGAACATAAAAACATAAATTTGGACCTAAAAAGAAAAGAGCCTCTGTATGATCGAAAGAAATATAGAACCAACTACATTCATTCAGATAAATTGCCTCTGAAGGCCGTTGAAATAATTCAGGAGGATTTCAATGAAGTAAATGAACAAGAGCAACAGTTACTTTCTGATACCCAAACTCACAATGAAAATGATAAGACTTATCAAGAAGTTAGCCCAAATATAACCCCTAATGATTCATTTTTATGGCGACGGAAAAGTAGCACTCAAATTTACTCCGACAGTGAAAAATCACTACCAGAAAGCCCTTACAGTATTATAAATGTTGCAATGAATGAAATCACTATAACGTGTACTGGTCCAGCTGAAGTTATAAAAGAATCTCAAATATCAGAGAAAAATGAATCTCAAAGTACTGATAAAAGAGAATCTGACTCTGATTTTGAAAGTAATCTAGTCGAAGCTTATAACAAAGAAGTTCTTCTGGGATACACGTCTAAGCCAAAAATAGAACCAGTTATCGAAGATGATTACGAACCTTTAGAACCAAGAGACACTGAAAATATTGTGATAATACCAATTAAAATGAGGGACCGAAATTCAAAAATAAATTGTCCCTTGCCAGAGATACCTAAACAGACAAACAACTCTACCGAGTCTTCTGATGTAACTACAAATGAAAATATCTACCAGTGTCTGTTAGAGATGAGATCCCACCCTGAAGGTGACGAAAGCAGCTTACACAATTATGAACTATGTGATGGTCAAATGGAAGAGAGAACTCGTGGTGACGGTGATAGCGATGACGGCTATGAATATTGCAAATCCCCAGTCAAACCTTATTGTTTGACTTCAAGTTCGGGCATTCAAATTGCAGAGGACTACCGACCCTCGGCAGATAATAACAAGAACTATGCAATCTCTAAATCCGTTAGCGGAACATCTACAGTGAGCTACGAAAAAATAGGTTCAGAGAGAATATACGAAAAAATCCCGCCGAGGCCACCAAAATCCAAAGATAACAGCCCCAGTTACAGCAGTCGTCATTCCTTTATATCTTCAGACTACACGGGCTACAACGACACAGAGAATATTTATGACACGATCAAACATGCAGACGGGGTGTCATTATCGCATTGCTACGAGAGTATACCAAATAGCCCGAGCATGGTGAAAATGAGAAATAATCTAAAGAAACAGCTAACATCTGCTATTCAGAAACGGTTGTCCTTTGATACAGTCTCGAATATTAGTCAAACAACGATGTCTAGTGAACAAAAGACTAACAGTATTTACGGGCAACGGTCAGTGCTCAGTTACAATGGCCAGGAGATCACCTTCCAAGTACCGAGCAGTGAAACGAGCGTGAGCGACAGAAGCGATGATTGGGTTGATGTTTCTGATGAAGAGAAAAGCGAGGAACAAAAAATCATCATGTAAGTTTTTGTTTTTGGTTGAAACAATTTTCGTTGAAACTTTAAGATCTTTAATATTTGTAAAAAATATGTAAAACTACACTATTTTTGAATATAATACTGACATACTTCTTATAATACATGAAAAGCGGCTAATAAACATTCACAAATCAGAGAAATCAAAAAATAAAAATTCATAGTCTAGCCTCTATACATATAATTTACGATCATGTATACTACCTATTTCATATTATAATTATATATGCAAATATTTTACCACTATCGATAGCTTTATAACGCGATAGTAAATAAGGCTATCTTAGATAACGTATAATTACAGTATCCTCATAGAATTACATAGTCTTATAGTTGTTATTACACTTTTAGTTTCGTGAATAGATGCAATACTGAAAACAGGGGAATTTTTATGATCATAATCAAATATATATACAAATAAAATTGTTATAGCATTATGAATGTAAAGTTTATCAATTATAATAAGAATCAAAATTATTTATTACAGTGTACGTGAACGCAGCCGGGGCAGAAAGAGTCCGGTCAGTTGGTCGCAAAAAGTGAGACACCAATGGCATAAATCACCGAAACGGAAAAACGAAGACAAAGGTAAGCATCAGTTGAAATAAAAAACATTTTGCCTGTTTTATCAGTGATTAAAATCATTTAGAAAACTTCAATACGATCTCGTTCATTACAGCGCCATCTGTTTCTAGATTAAAACAACATTACGTAACGTGGCGCTCGCTTGGAGGTACGAAACAGAATCGATGTTTACGGGTATTAGAAATCGTTTGTAACAGAGAGCGCTTTTTCTGTTTCATCGCTTAGGAATTATATATATTTTTCTATCGTACTTAAGGCAGATTGCTCTTCCGTTCGAAAATAATTCTCAATTTGAGGACATCGAAATCACCACTTTTCCTAGCAGTTGTTTAGGTGAATTCTTTAATTGACGAGCACACCAGCGCCATAGTTGAGAATTTTTGTTCTTTTTCGTACAGAATCGTAATGTCTCAGTGAAAGTTTTAACTACAATTGTAATTAAGTAAATAATATCAGAAAATTATTTGTAACAAACAATTAAGAAATATTACATTGAAAATGATAAATACTAATGCTATGCTGCAATTTGCCGTCTCTTTCGTAATGCAGTGACAGACATCCCACGCCACGTTCACATTTTATGAATGTTAAATTTTAGAATTTAATGTCGAATTATAATGTTGTCCTTAATCATTTGTTTTGTTAAATACGCTAGATTGACCTTAGAGTAATAATCATTTAATTAACTGATCACAACTGACTTCTAGGTCTAGCTATATCTACCTATATTGCATTTTATATGTTTCTCGGTATATGGGTAAAAAAACTTTAAAAAAAATCAGCTTATCGTACTCTCGTAACAATTATAAGTCGTATTTCCAAGCAATTTCATATAATTTATGTAAAGGTAAACAGGTACAAAAGCAGACGTGGATGCAGCCTAGCATTTTAGAGGGGGTCACTAATAATAAAATATGTTTGTAAAATAAATGTCATAAATCGGGTAATAATATTTGAGACATGTGGGGCGATTATTTTGCTCTCAGCCGAGTTTTCATGCCTTAACCATAAATACTCGTGTATATATTTTTTTCCTGGCGCAGAAACTGAACTCTGATGATCCGCTTATAGGAAGAGACGCAGGAATTTTTAGTATATTCTTTATATTTGGGTAGAAATGATCGTCGCAACTTTGATAGAAAATAGCTGTTTTATTTTGCAAATTTATAAAAGATTTTCTTTCCCACATTCGAGTATCTTTTTATCAAACTATAAAATCGAATTTAAAACCACATAATAAGCATGTTAATGTGCAGTATTAACACCCACGTGTCGCGCGTGATAAAATATACAAATCGACCTAAAACAGTAGATTATGTTGCAACAAGTTCACGGGCCATGCGCCCGCGCAGCCCGTGGGCGGCCGCTAATCGTTGCCGGATTCCATACCTCAAACATTTAATCGGATACCGCAGTTTTTATTAGTGTCTGTTTATTGAGACATGGATATTTTATTATTTGGTATATTTTTATATTATTCAAAGTAAAGCTTTGTAATATCAAATACGTGTGCCTGTTAAATTTCGATTGATACTCACACACGTTTCTGAAAAGTAAACCTAAGTGTAAAAATACCACTTTCTCTACAAAAGCTCTTACAAATATTGATCTAATACATTTCACACCAAATTTTATTGACATTGACATATGTAGGTACCTGCTCGTACTTATGCCTCGTAAATAAGTGTCTACTCTAAATTAGGAGTATGTATACAACGGTATGAGTTGTTGAACTTAAAAGTTTAATTATATCTCAAATTATATTTATCACTTCTAATTAGGTTAACCATAATTTATTTTAAAGAAACAGAAAATTTCGGAGTTCAAGTTCCAGTAAAAGTCACAAATTTTGGAAGCAAAAGTGTTCATGACGGTGGTTATAAAATTTGAATAAGTCAACGTTTTTCAGATCAGTTAGTATACGAAAATGCAAATATATGTATTATTTGATAAAGCCCGGGATTGGACTCATAAGAGAACGTTCATTATAGGCAGAAAAAATATTGATAGGAAAATCGTAAAACAACACACAAGCCTTTAACCGCTTAGCGTCTAATAAAAAAAATGCACGCAACTCGTCAAAGGTAAAAGGCCGTCAAACATTTGCCGTTAAAAAAAAGTCCTGTGTAGGTAAGTTTTGACATTACTGAAAAACAAAAATTATAAAAGGCTGTACGAGCTTTATTCACTGGGTTAGCTATGTTTAATAAATATTGTCTTTGTTTAACTTCTCCTTTCCAAATAAAAATCTATATAAATATCGATTAGGTCGCTACACTTGATATGGCAACGATAACTACTGACCCACATAGATACCGGGTTATATTCAGTAGGTACACCACTGAATACAGTATTCACTGAATACAGTGGCTACAACAGCGTATTTTTGTAAAGTATCAGTTATATGTGTGACAATTCGAGCATCGTCCTCATTGTAAATTTCATAGAGGTAAGGTCTATTGCAAGATTTCACTTTCGCTGTCATTATTTAGATTTCACTTTCCAAAGTGATGAACTTTGGAAAAATTACCATTTCATGCATTGGTAACTAATTTCAAAAAAAGAGGACTTAAGTAATTTTTTTTTTTCGGTGTTCGTAGATATGCTTTTTCTGTAACAACTTCGTCTATACTAATATTATTAACATTAAAGATTCTATTGTTTGTTTGCAACGAATAGGCTCCGAAACTACTGAAGTGATTATAAAAATTTATTCATCTACATCAGCTACATCATAAGCGGTAAACATAGGTTATATTTTATCCCGAAAAGCAGTAAATAAAGGGATGAAAAGGAGAGGGAAAATTCATGTAGGGAATTAAAACGTTACCATAATAATGGTTGTTTACTATTCAATTTGTCATTGTAATTATTTTCGTGTCATTATATGAATCGATATCAAATAAACAGTTCCATAATGCCCACGCGGGTAAAGCCGCTGGCGGAAAGCTAGTAGTTTTTAAACTGATATTAATTCCGAAATTATGGAAATAAGGTCGGTAGTTTTTATTTATTTATTAAAAATGTAAAAAAACGACGTCATCTAAATAAACAGAAGCGTAAGTTTTATTTTCCTACGACTTTTGTTATGTTGATTATAAATTGATTTGATACATGACAAATTAATGCATCTAAACCATATCTTACGCTAATAAGATCAACGAAGAGCGTCATGTTCTACAAAAAGAAACTAAGAATTCAAAATTACTATAATTTTTTATATAATTATGCAAAATTATGTTTGCTAGGACTTTTATTATGTCAACGCAATTTTTACATAAACATAAATTGGCAAAATAAATATTTTAAGGCATACAGCGGTTGCTTTAGTTTTTCCAAATCGTCTGTATTTTTGCTTGCTTGTTGAATTAAATTGCTTGCTTGTGAAAAACGTTTTTAAATTATATTTATGTATAAGCACAATTTAGGTATAGGTACCCAACATTTTCACGCTAACACAAACGTTAATGTTACAAACCATCTCAATTTTAATTACAATCCAATGGAATAATTGAAGATATTGATTTCGCTGTATTTCTTGTATTTTATTAGGTATAATACAGGCAATTATATTACAATAAAGCATTGTACTCGACAATCAGAGTGGACTTCCTCAGTGGGTGCGCACAAGCAGCTGAAACTGCACCCACCCAACCGTGAACTATTATTGTTGCGTACAAACAAATATAATTTAATAGATAGACTTTTAACAAAAACTGTTACGTTTTTATGCTCAGAATAATTGTATGTTGTAACAGCTAGGAATAAAAATCATTAGAAATAAATATATCTTCAAGATCTTTAATATCTTCGTGTATTTACTGTGTCTTACAGTATCGACAGTGTGTAGTTCCTTTTTAACATCTTCATCTGCACCGCTACATTATGTCAAATATAATATCAAATGAAAATAACACAATCGTTTAAGATAAATATTATAAACAGTTGCGTTTACTATAAAACACACATTAATTTTATTTGGAACTAGCTTTCCGCCGGCGGCTTCGCCCGCGTGGTCCATGGATGGATATAGTGGATATTGTAATTCAATGACAAATTGAATAGTAAACATTGGCAACTATATACAAACTTGCGCTGCCATTTTCATGCCGCTATTTGCTATTTCGTGATAAAATATAGACCAGTGATTCCGAAGCGGTCCAGGTGGACCCCCAGGGGTCCGCGATGGATTCAACGGGGGTCTACGTTGGCGTGAAATAATAAAAATTTCCATCGTTAGATCTTCTCATTTTGAACGAATTTTGTGAATATGGTAAAAATGTAGCTGCAGGAGGGTCCACCGAAACCAGTAAATTTTTTTAAATAGTCTACGGGACGAAATTGTTTGGGATCCTCTGATATAGACTATGTTCACCGCATATGATGTTATGTTCCAGTAGGTGAAAGAATTTTTAAAATCGGTCCAGCAGTTTCGGAGCCTATTCTTTGCAAGCAAACAAACAATCAAATCTTTCCTCTTAATAATATTTAAGTACTAAATTTATTAATAAAAAATGCTTAAAAAATCCACTTTGTCCCTGCTGAAAGAAATATTTATCACTACATAATATAAAACAAAGTCGCTTTCTCTGTCCCTATATCCGCATGTATGCTTAAATATTTAAAACTACGCAACGGATTTTGATACTGTTGTTTTTCATAGATAGGGTGATTCAAAAGGAAGTTTTTTATGTATAAGTTAATCTTATAATAAGGCCACGCGGGCGAAGCCGCTGGCGGGAAGCTAGTAACAAATATTTGAACCTTCGATAAAGATGAAAATTTGTTCTAATTATTTATTATATTTGATAAATTTTGAGTTCACAATGCTATATTGAAAAATATTCCTAATGAAAAAGGCTTAAAAAAATCCACTTTGTCCCTGGCACTCTGAGATCATACTCGAACCCATGACCTTTCATTTTCATTATAGCTTTGCTGGAATAGCTCGGTGGCGTAGAGGATAAGCGCCGCGGCCCACGATCGTAGTTGTAAGCAACTTT